AGATAGATAGATAGATAGATAGATAGATGAATATGAATAGAACGCGATAGATAGATAGATAGATAGATAGATAGATAGATAGATAGAAAAAGAACGCGATAGATAGCTATGAAGAGAGCACGATAAATAGATAGATAGATATGAAGAGAACGCGATAGATAGATAGATAGATAGATAGATATGAATAGAACGCGATAGATAGATAGATAGATAGATAGATAGATAGATAGATATGAAGAGAACGCGACAGATAGATATGAATAGAACGCGATAGATAGATAGATAGATAGATAGATAGATAGATAGATAGATAGATATGAATATAACGCGATAGATAGATAGATATGAAGAGAACGCGATAGATAGATAGATAGATATAAAAAGAACGCGATAGATAGCTATGAAGAGAGCGCGATAAATAGATAGATAGATATGAATAGAACGCGATAGATAGATAGATAGATAGATAGATAGATAGATAGATAGATATGAAGAGAACGCGACAGATAGATAGATAGATATGAATAGAACGCGATAGATAGATAGATAGATAGATAGATATAGATAGATAGATAGATAGATAGATAGATAGATAGCTCGAGAAAGAGTAAGGGAGAGTGAGAAAATGAAACCGAAATAGATTGGCATTAATAGAAAGTAAATAGCCTATAAATATAGCATCCGATGTTAAAAAAAACGTATAAATTAGATCTTCCCCCTCCTCCTCCTTTTTGCGGCGTCCCTTCAGGATATGAGCAGTCATGGCTCTCCAGGATTTCCTGTTCCTTGTGGCCCTTTGCAGTTTTTCGCCCTTGCTAAAGCTACCCCTCCCGTTCAACCATCCATTCACATAAGCTTTTCAGGTTGGTGACTCCCTTATCTCTCTTATTCCCAATATGCCTTGTGAGTCTTACGTTTTCCAAGCTTGCCTTCCTCAGTATGTGTCTAAGGAATAGTCGCTTCCTGATTCTGAGCATTTAGGAAACAGTAAATGCATAAAGGCCGGAATAGATAGATAGATAGATAGATAGATAGATAGATAGATAGATAGATAGATAGATAGATGGGCGTATGAATGAGAAAACGACGCAGGATCGACAGCTGATCCAACTGATATTTGATTCAACAATTAACAAATGATGTTTCGAACTTCTTCAGGTGATATTTGTTGGAATTTAGAACCAAAATTTAAATTATTCTAATTCCACGTGCTATGCCTTTGGATATTTCAGTTTCAGTTAATTCCACATGATAACTCAATTGTCCAAGTTTTTGTTCCCTCTACTGTGGCCAGGTATTGGACTCACAACACTTTAGGTCAAGTCACTTTTGAATCAACCAACGAACGCCTTTATCCATTAATATCATAATGATTTACACATACAAGTCCGGCTTATTAACCCATAACTAGGGAGAAAAGAGGTGGATTCATACCTTTTCCAAAGCGTATTTGCGCGTAAGTCGATATAACGAACTCGGCTAGAATTGGAACTTGACTCTCCGATTTCCAATTTTGTGCTATGTGTCCTTGAGGAAAACAGTCCGAACAATATAAATGGTGAAAATAGTCGCAATATCTCATCTCAGAAATAAAGACAAATGGCTATCAAATGTTCAAACGTTGCAAATCAAGTGTTGAACTACAAACTGTAATTTTAAATATTCTATTGATTAATTAACAACATATTTTTCAATAGACTGTAAAATCTGTAAGTTATATCTTTCTTAGCCACCTTTCTGATGATTACCGATGAAACGGTCGAAAGTACTAGAAAACACCCTTTTCCCCAATTCAACTATAGATCGTTTCGTCACGGATTTCCATTTAATGTCAAGATTGATTGATTTGTTTTTTACGGCTTATCAACCTTTTGCGGGTTATTTAAAGCCAGAAAATATTTTTAAATTCTAAGAATTTTTTTTTTGAGATAATAATGATTTATTATTAAAAGTATTATTTATTAACTCCTAACTGGGGAGAGAAGACGTAGATTTAACCCCCCTCTCCCAAGAGTAACTGAACGTAAGTAAATATAACGAACTTGACTAGGATTCGAACTCGGCTTTTCTGATTTCCAATTCCGAGTCATTATCCATTACACCATGTATGCATCCAAGTGTACTGCACCTGGTATTCTCAAACGGTAACTGACCTAGCTCGCCGTTGCTTAACTTTGGTTATCGTACGAGAACCGGTGTTTCAACGTGATAAGCTTTTCACGTAGAGTTTGGTTCGAAAGCAATCAGAAAAGATGATTAAAAACAATTGTATTTATTTGTTTGTTACATTCAACGATATTGGCATAAAAGAATTTTTGTTGCCAAAATATACGTCGTCGTTTAGATTATAAAAAAATCCTCATGCTAACGGCCTATTCTGCTACAAGAAAATGTGTTTGTGTCGGAAGAAGTGTATCTTCTATTTACACTTAAATCCTAATGTAATTAATTAATTTTACCCCCTTTATTTCCTATTTTTACTGTATATAAAAATGTATCTTTTTTTTTGCCACTAGTGTTCACCCAATACAAGGCCTAAGAGCCACACAAGGTAGTGGGATTGCTGGTTGGGTAGAAAATAACGAATTAGATTATATCTGAATTACAGTACGATTAAACATTGAATCGTGTTTCTGCTCAAGTTAGACTGGCTTCTACATATAAAGTTCTGTGACTTCCGTTAGTCCGTCACCCATCACACCCTCTAAAAATAACCAGGCATTAACCGATCGAAACCAAATTTTAGGGAGAAGTGCAAACAGGTGTTGGTTTTACTAGGGTGCGTAGCTTAGGAGAATACATTTTCATTAATTCTTTTGGATAAATTAAATGTTTCATTATTTAACATACAAAATACACACACTATTTTAGAAACAATTAAATGATTAAAATAACAAATAATTATTTAATAAAAATGCAATATTGTTTTTTGCATATGTTTTCTTTGAGTTTTTATATATATATATCCAGTTTCCAGTTCGCCTTGCGTTTGCGAAAACTATAAACAAATGACATCGCCAAATGTTTCAAAAAGTTTGGAATTTGGCTCCGGAAAGAAATATTTACGCATGACCAGTTGTATGTTGCATGCTCAAGAGTAAGAAATCCTAAGAATTTATTCTTCGCTGTTAAACAGGAAAGAGGATAAAAGAAATCTTAAAAATGTTGTTTAAAAAAAATTGTTTAAATTAAATTAAATTAAAGAAATTATTAAACCGTGAAGTTTGTCAAAGTATTTTCCAAACAAATCGGCATATTCAAATTTCATCGATTGGAAAATTAGACGAAACATGAACAAAAATGTTGGCGATAACTTCAACAATACTAAATACTGTGAGACTTTCGTAACGCGTTATCAAAAAGTTCTAGTATTTTAAAAAGCACCGATCAAAATCTCAAGTCAATTCCGATTTTTTTTCTTTGAAAAGTGTCCCAATCTGGTAAGCTTTTGTTAGCAAGTAAATTTTGGATGGCTTTGCCGACATCTGGTCGTCGAAGTAGAAAACAACCCAATTATTTATAATTATGAACAAATGAAGCCGGCTAGACAGAAATTGGAAGAAAAATCATAAAGTTTCATATTCTAAAACCGAAAATATACCAAACAAAGAATAAAAAGGCATTTCATGCTTCTTCCCCGGCCCTGAAAAAAAGAACCCGATTGTGTTAACAATGTTGTTTCTACTCACAAGTCACGAGTACATCGTTTTTCTCCAACGTTTACAAATATGATGTGTTTCTGTAAAAACAGGTCTCCGCTGACTGGCCGTTAAGGTGTTGGGGCCATGCAAAACCGGTTAGGGTTAGGCAACTGATAAGCAATCAAGGGTGGTGCTGATCGGGATATTTACTACAAGCCATTTTAATTCACCGAACAAAAAATATCTACATGTTGGCATCTTCAGTCAGATAAAATTAGATGCCATGGAGCCATGGCTATTATAGCCTCAGTGTATTTATTATTGTTATTATTATTATTATTACTATTATTATTATTATTATTATTATTATTGTTGTTGTTGTTGTTGTTGTTGTTGTTGTTGTTCCTTAGTTAGTTATTTAACTAATTAGTTAGTTAACCCGTAAGTTACACCCTGCCAATACCTTCTAAATAATGAAATGTTCTGTTCTGATTGCGAGCTCAGACAGAAACGGCATACCAGAGACACAATTTGGTTTCTGTGAGAAAAATACAGATGGAAAGAAAGAACGAACGAAAAGAGAAGGCGGTAATAATATTCTAATGTTTATCGTCTGCTTCAGTGAAATGGAAAAAACTAGTAAATTAATTATACCAATGAAGACAGACGAAATGCATTAGAAAAATAAACAATTAAAGGAATTTTCTCTATGATGTGTATGTAACAAAATCCTGTCGTTATAATGACGTCATTCCATCGTAATACATATTCCTTTTTTTGTCTTTCTTTCCTTGTACTCCTCTCTCTTACTCTTTGGATTTCTTCTTCTTCTTCTTCTTCTTCTTCTTCTTATTATTATTATTATTATTATTATTATTATTATTATTATTAAACAAGAGAGCGGCAAGCTAACAACATAACACTGGGGTACAAATATACAAAGTCCAATGTACCCATCATAACACTTAGTCTGCTAAGGGTATACTAAGCACATGCATCACAGCCAAATGTTGGCGATATGGTGGCAGGTTTCTGTAAAAGCAGCACAGAACCTTACATGTGTCTCCCAGTTAGAAATACATTCAGATCGGGTAAAATATTTATTATTATTATTATTATTATTATTATTATTATTAGATTATTAACTAGAAATAACTGACGACGTTAAAAGAGTATATTTAATTGATGGAAAATAAGGGGCTTGTTGCAAACAATGACATTCGTTACCGAGAATGTGATATAGCTAACTACTTTCTGAACCTCAAACAACAAGAACTTTTGATTTTCTTCTAAAAAGTAAAAGGTAAACAAAAACGAATGATATTACATCAAAGCCCGACATATTTGGCCGTAGAGCCGATGCTGGAGATTCAACTTCGCTTTGACGATGAATATTTTGAAACCCAGAAAGTTCATGGAAAGAAGTTAACGTATTAAAGAATTCTGTTGGCGTTGAGACTAGATTAAAATAGTAAGTTAAAACGAAATCTTGCAACCCGTTAATCAAACCCTGTCACTTACCAAAGTACCGTATATACCCATGTATCATGTGACTTTTGAAGTCCTAATCTTGAAGCTAATTTGACTACAGTAAATGGAAATGTAATTTGGCCAACGTCGTAGCCAGGTCTCGCAGTTCATACGCTAATTTTATATCTCGTGTATGAAGCGACCCTCTTAAAATTGCCTTCAAAATTAGATCTTCAAAAATCGCATGCTAGGCGAGTATATACGGTAAGTAGAAAAAAAGAAAAGATTTTTTTTAAAAAATATTACATTCAAAGCAAGGCGATAAAGCCACCAGATAGGTTTACCTATCTCCCTGTTCACACTCCTTCCCTGTCTTTTGAACAAGAGTAGAGATTTATTTCTTGTTTCTTGTTTAGGATTGGGTTTTTCCTATTTCTTCTGATTTCATTATCGCCTTGCTTGGGGTGAAATGATAAAGAAAAAAGCACACAAGGTGTTACTGAGTGGGAAAGACTCTGATGACAAAATATTATTAAGGAGAATGGACAAGGAATTAAGAAGATAGAATATAACGATTGACATTGCATTTAAATTTTTGAAAATTAAAGTTGACTGAGAAGCAAGATGCTGGCAGAATTTTCCATAAGCGATAACTGTTAGCATAGAGCATTATATCTTGCAGTTTCAACTGTAAAATGATGAGACCTAACTGGCAATCTAGTAATGCGCTTAAATTAGTAAAGTCAAGGTACCAAACAATTACCATGAAAATATTTATAGAAAGAGAAGGCGATAGGAAAATGACTGAAGCCGAGATGCCAGATCATGGTCGATAAGATTGCATATTATTCTATGGATTTTATCAAGAATATCTAAATACATAGCAGAAGCACCAAACCAGATGTGGCAGCAATATTCAAAGCATGGACGAATGGTAGACTTATAAATGTATAAGATAGATTCGGGCAAGAGAAATTGTCTAGCACTGTGAACCAACTATCCTATCAGCAGATCTAGCAATTGATTCAATATAATCTTTCTACTTCATGTTAGAAGAAAACGTTAGCTCGAGAAGGCTCAATGGTTTACTTCACGGAAGGCTTTCTAGCCCTGTTAAAAGAGAATAGTTTTGGAGGTGTCAAAATTAAGAAACCTTTACTTACCTTAGTTAGCAACAGATTGAAGGTTATTTTCTAGACCGGCTGCTAATTTGACTAAGTAATTAATTGTGTCATCAGTATAGATACCAATTTGTGAACTGATAACACCAGGAAGGTCGTTCCATGGACATTAATGGTGGACATTAATGTAAAAAGATGTAGAAGAGTGGCCGTTCAAGATGACCTGATCAATAAAATCGCTACCGAAGCCTGATCTTTGTTAGATTTGCGAAAATCGACATGAAATTATAACATTCAAGGAAACGTGATTATATGCTTTTCTATCCGGATATTCATATTGATTTTGATGCTTACAACGTTACCATCGTTATACGATCCAAACGTTTCAGGTTTGTGTTCTAGTCAGTAACTTTCTAGTAATTTTGAATCGAACCCTTTATTCAATCTACGAGGGCAGACTGTTCGCATTCCACTTTCAAGGCTTAATGGATATCGTATCAATTAATTCTTTTTAGTATGCTTACCATTGTGTCACTTGCCCGTTCCTTTTCCTTTCACAACAGCCCACTCAGGGATTGAACTGTGAACAGACTATCAGGAAAGCAGATGTTTTATTTTAAGCAATCCATTATCCCATTCTGTCATGAGGCCCTTGGACAATCCCTTGATTTAATAGTGCAGAAAAGACATATCGGAATAGAAAAACATATATTAATTGATAATTAATCTTTTTAAAAAATTACATCTTGAAAAAGAAAAAGGTAATTATGTTATTCAGGATTGGTACGTTATGTTGATCAAAAAATATCATTGGATTATTTTATGAGTTTTTGAGAAGAGCATTTACTATTATAATCCAATTCTTATTCGAATTTAAATTCTTATCCTATGAGAATGAACGAAATGTTATGATTATTTATTATCAAGGTGAGATCGAAAATGCAAAAGATTTATAACTGAAATTTCCAAAGGCCATAAGACAGTCATGATAAAAAAACATCATCGTCCATTACTGCATTTAGAATCAAAAGGAAAGACAGCCACAAATGGGAGGAAATGCATCAGAATCTTAAGAAAATAAAATAAAATATATGCTAGATTAATAAATGGCCTGAATAAAGCGTTATGAATCATCGACTGCTAATGTATTCAACTCCATTTTTTTAATCGGCTTTTGTGTTTCCAGTGTGCGCCTCAGTAATAAAAATATTTAAAGTGTGTCCATAATCTCTTTTTTTAACCTTTCCTTTTACGAAATGGAGTCAAAACAGGCAATATAATTTCTTGGGTGGGCGGAGCATTTGATAAAACATTGAAAAAGAAATAAATAAGCTATTAAAAAAACGTTAATATATTTAACCGATCATTTCATCCTAGATAGAATCGTCAGTTGTCCATCATGCTACAGTTTCAGGGAGTCAAGAGTAAAACTGATAGATGTTTAGTGTTTTAGATATTTACATGTAGCCCATTAAAGTTGAACGAAAAAGCTTCCGCCTCCTCCTCCTCCTCCTCCCTCTCCTCTTCTTCTTCTTCTTCTTCTCCTCCTCCTCCCCCTCTTCTTCTTCTTCTTCTTCTTCTTCTTCTTCTTCTTCTTCACAAGAACCCGATAATATTGAAACTCTTTAATATCGAGCGTTTGTATCGAAACAATTTCCAGGTTTTTCTAATACGGATTATCCGCCCTGAGTATGACGATAAACTACAATCGGCAGCAAGGCCTCTGATAGGGAGATTGGAGGTTTTGATGAACGTGAAACCCCCTCTTAATTGCTGTTGTTTCCAGCTCCACCCTGACCCGGGTTGCTAGCATATGTTAGGGCCCCAGCTATAGGCAAATATTTAACCCCCAAATTGGGGTCAAAACACTATGGACGTATAAAAATGATTTTTATAGTAACAATACCAGCAATATATTTTTGGGAAAAAATTATTTGACTCTTGACAAAAACATTCGTTACAAAAATACGTCACTGAAACCTGATCTACGAACTAATTTCTTACAAAGAATACATATTATATTCATACGAACCTATCCTAAAAATCTTGTCAGCTTTAAATAATCCATTCAGGTGCCATAAAACAAAATAAACCAAACCAAACTTAATATAAATTATATCATTAATCTTTTCGGCAACTTCATAAACAATGAACACTTTCGTAATAAGGCTAATGCCAGAGAAACGCTCAAGATGTTTAATGATATTCGATATTTTCATTTTGGGAACAGCATAGCAAAGCTTTTTGAATTCAATACTAGTAATTTCAAAATGAAATGTATTTCAGCTTATGTTATATCATGACGTGTAAACTGTGTTATGTGAAAAATGCCTCCCAGTATTTTTAGATCTCGTGGCGACGTCGTTCATAGAAATGGAAAAAATGGACCTACATTATTCATCGATGTTTTTGTACGGTTGACATTGGAACAGAACAGTATTGTGTGGTCCGTGTATATTTATTAAGAGAGATGTTGATAGGTGCACTCCTTGAATAATAAAAAATAATAACCATAGAGGTTGGGGTTTGTTGGAAGGTTTTTTTTTCTGAATCAACAGCAATTCTATATCAGTGTAGCTACGGAAAGAGAAATATAAAATTCTGTAGAGTTCCAAAGATATATATAAAAAAAATAAACAAATAAGGCTTACATGATCACGTTAATAAATCGATGAACATGATCCGACAGATCCTTATAAATGCGAAGTGTATCGAGAAGAAAAAGTAGAATGTGGCGCGCAAACAAGACAGAGCTGTACTTTGCGCCGCTGGGTGTCACGTATCACAACTATTCTAAGATTTTCTACTACATGGTGGGATTCTGAATTTTCTGCTGTTTGCAAACAACTTTTTTTTCTTGGTAATTTTCGCAATGGCTGATAGAAGAGTACAAAGAAGTGTGTATGAAATTTAGTTTTCTTTGGTGAAATTTCTTTGAGAAAAGCTTTAGATAAAATAAAAGTAGGTCAGTGGTATTCTTATTTCAAATGAAGTGGTATTCATGTGGTATAAAGTTCAGAAAACTGAAATAGCGAAAATAATTGTAAGAATTCGTCTCACAATGAAGATTACCCTCCTACCATTAATGAGGATGGTGAATGGTTGTGTCTCGGATTTCATGATAACGAATCTAAACAGTTTTAATATTGAAATGCGTTTGCGCAAAAAAACGTGAAATTTTGGTTTAAAGAGTATTAAACAACAATTATTTAAACGTGGGGTACGATTCGATTTCAAGGAAGACATGCTAAATGACACAGAGTTTTTTCCAAAATTTTGATTGGGGACAATTTTTTAAAAATCCGTTTATATTTTCGTGTACCCTCGTCTGTCTGTCTATCTCTATCTCTCTCTCTCTCTCTCTCTCTCTATCTATCTATCTATCTATCTATCTACGGTGGACTCTCCGGTCGGATTCGACGTATGAGGGTTAAGCAGCTCAGTTCCTAGGAACCGACAGCCAAGTCACCAGCACATATGATTTGATTATAGTGGTGAAGGCTTTGTGCAGGACCAACCACACTTTTTGAAGGGCCGAATACAGTGACCTGGTACACTACGTGCCACAAGGTCCCCAAACGACCCTCCGCAGGTTTTGAATTCAAAGTTGTCCTTCTCCTAGACCAGTTGCCATCCAAGGCTATAGAACCTAGTCTGTCCTGCTATTTTACCTATAGCTGGAGGGGGAAGAAGAGGATTAATACCTTTCCCAAGGGTATTAGCACGTAAGTGAATGTAATAGATTCGACTTGGCTCTCCGATTCCTCAAAGGAATGGATTTTTTATTTATTATTCTGACAGATTTGTATTACTTAAACGTTATTTTAATGGATACGCGTATTTTTAGTAGACGCCTCGTTTACTTATTAAACAGTATATTTATTCATTTATTTTCGTCTATCAACCTGAATAATTTATTATTAATAAATACTCTACTCAAATACGTGTATCCACTAAAATAACGTTTAATAAATGAAAAAAAACCTATTCATTTCTTAACAAATTGCTTTGTTTACCTTAGGATACGAAACTGAGTAAATATGTTTATTTCAAGAGTCAAAGAAAAAAAAACTGTGCTTAAAGGCATTATTCAACTTGATCATCGATACACTTTGCAGCCGAGAGGTTAAAACAAGCCAGATCTAATAACGCTTTCCCCTAAGGGAACGCAGGTTCGAATGCTATCGAAGAGCTATTTTTTTCTCTCTAATATTCAATCCGATAGACGAAAATAAATTAATAGACTGTTTAATAAATAAACGGAGCGTCTATTCAAATACAAGTATCCACTAAAAATAATGTTTAAGTAATAAAAATCTATCAGATTTATAAATTAAAATAATCCATTCATTTATTTACAAATTGTTTTGTTTACCTTAGGATAAGAAACTGAGCAGATGTCTTATTCAAGAGTCAGAGAAAGGAGTCTGTGTTTAAAGGCACTATTCAACTTTGCTTGGTCATCGATGCTCTATGTAGCCGAGAGGTTAAGTCACGTCAGATGTAATGATGATTTCCCCGTGAATCCTGTTGCAGAGTGCATATTTTCTCTAATAAGATTTCTCGGCTATTCAGGCAGGTAGACGTAAATAAATAAATATACTGTATAATAAATAAACGGAGCGTGTATTCAAATATGAATATTCAGTAAATGTTTAAGTAATATATATATATATATATATATATATATATATATATGATCGTATTGAAGAACTTAGTTTTTCACATTTGCAAATCACCTGCTGACTTCAAGAGCTATTGTCGTTCCCATGAGATCTAAAACAATGAATCAAACTTGTCAGTAATGGTCATGCTCGTTCACGAATCAGCCGCCATTATATATATATATATATATATATATATATATAGATAGATAGATAGATAGATAGATAGATCGATAGATCGATAATATTAGTGGTAACTATACACATACATATGCAATCCTATATCTAAAATATCTAAACACTCTCATACATACACACTCACTAAATTTTATTTTTTATTCCCGGAGTTGTTTTTTTGTTTTTTTTTTTTTTGTTTTTTTTTGAATTTGTAGGTCCAATGAATTGGATCGTATTTATGATTCAATGGAATAAATTATGACCATGGAATTATTATTATATATATATATATTATATATATATAATAAAAAAGGCTTTTTTATTATATATATATATATATATATAATAAAAAGGCTTAAACACTAATATTCCATGGTCATAATTTATTCCACTAGAATCGTAAATACGATCGAAATCATCAGACTATTTTTCATATGTATGTATATTTTCCACTAATATTATCTATATATATATATATATATATATATATATATATATATATATATATATATATATATATATATATATGATAGAATATGATTGTATGCATTGAATAAACATACATAATCTATTTCATAATTTGTTTTATTCAGTAGCATCATAACGCTAATAATAAATAATTTACAAGGACAAAACTATCCGTAGCCCAGAAAAGTAATTTAATTATTAATGAAATTCAGTAAATGTATAATATAACATGTTAAGAGGAGACAGTCTATAAGGTTGCATCTGTGAATTGTACTTGCATAATAAAACCTGACATCGAATAATTTGATGTTTTTTTCTTTCGCAATCAATTCTGTTTCCAGTTCTTCATCAAACTTAATTTAGATTTTACTGTTTTTTTCTTTTCTCAATCTGGAATATTTTGTGTCATTCCCCAACACAAGATGTCGGGGGATCATTCCATGTTACAAATGATTAAAACGTAATTTTAAAGCAAGAAGAAACATTATTTATTGCTTCATTTTACGACAAGCCTGCAATATAAAACCGATTCATGGCAAGGAACATTAGTAACTGATCATAAAAGCTGAAGAAAAAAAATCAATCATTCAACTTCAATTATTAATAATGGAATTAATGATTTTCTGCCAAATCGAAAGCAGTGCATGAAGAATCTTTATGACCCTTTTTTAACAACATACTTGTTTACATTTAGCGTGGTTCTCAGTTATTGGTGTAAAACATCAAACATCTAATCTGCTACTTCTGACAACTGAGCCGCACACTTGAAACACGAAGCTGATTTAAAAATGGACTTGGACACATTCCCAATCTATGATTCATAACACTATATTCAGGATATTTCTTTTGTTTCCAAACATATATTTTATTGTTTTCTATTTTTCTTTCTATTTTATCCTTTGATTTCTAAAAGACTTCAAGCAAGAAAATTATCTTAACTAAAGTCGTCCATTTTGAATGCCATAGAATAAAAGGAAAGTATTTTTTTTTCTCTCAAGAAAGCCACCAACCTTCAGCAAAACATTAAAAACAAACAATTTATATTTCAAGGGCCGCCACTTAAAATTTACATGTTGTTATTGTTTATATCAAAATAGTTTAGTGGATTTACGTAAAGGGATTTTTAGTGGGAGAGGCCCGATTCAAAATCCTTATGTTTTTTATGGCAATTGATGAAAGCTAATACAAAAACTAACCCACATATAAAGTAAAACAAAGAAAAAATATTAAAAGATATTAAATGTAAGCAAGGATTTGAAAAAAAAAATAATCACATCGATTGCTTAATCAATGAGTAAAAGCGTAGATGAAAATTGTTATAAAAGAATCTAAGAAACAAACGATAACATCCGGTCAGGCCAGCACGACCATCCTTGATAAAAGGCCCATGAGCTATTAAGTCATCCATGTTTTTGCCTGATGTTGTCAATGGAAATGCAGCAGAGAGGAAAGAGAGTGACGAAATACGTAATTACCATGACGATAAGAGAAAGAGAAAATTCTTTGATCCGACAGACGTTTGTTAATTTGGTCACACGTCCATTGATTCTCCTGCCGCTTACTCTCATGAAATTCCTTGCCTCCCCATCCCCTCTCTTTCCCTCTCTCTCTCTCTCTCTCTCTCTCTCTCTCTCTCTCTACGCCCCATCCCCACCGATACTTTATGAGGTTTCGTAGGTTTTATATCATATTCTTTCTTTCTTTCTTTCTTTCTTTCTTTCTTTCTTTCTTTCTTTCTTTCTTTTATTGTTTTTTATGTATGTTTATTTTTTCTGGTTTCGTATTGTTTTTTTCTCATTAAAAATTCCTTTCCTTTTTTTTTCTTTCTTTTTTTTGTTTCGCTCATTCGTATTTTTTCTTTCTTTTATTGTCTGTATTTATCTTTATTTTTCATGTTTCGTGTCGTTTTTACTTTTTTCGAATTTCAAAAAAAAAGTCCTATTTTCTTTGTTTCTTTCTATTTTCTTTCTTCAATTTCTGCTTTACTTATTCTTTTTTCTTTCATCATTTTAATATATCTTTATTTAAATTCGTTCTTCTGTTTACTTTCTAACTTTTTCCATTTTGTTTCATTCATTTTATTTTTGCTTCATATACTCTCTCATATCCGCTTCTTTCTTTCTTTCTTTCTTTCTTTCTTTCTTTCGATTATTTCTGTCTTTTTCTCAACCTTTTTTTATCACCCTTTTTTCTTCTCTTCTTTCATTATTCACATCTTAATCTTTCTATTTCCTTTGTCTTTTTTTGTTTTTTTTTCTCATTTAAAAAAAAATTCCTTCCTTTGTTTCGATCGCCCGTTCGTTCGTTCGTTCATTTTTCTTTTCTTCCTTTTATTGTTTTTATTTCTTTTTTTTTTTAGGTTTCGTATCATTTTTTTTTTTATCATTTCAAAAATTTTTCCTTTTCTTTCTTTTTTTTATTCCGTTCGTTCGTTCATTCTTTTTCTTTCATTCTTTCTTTTATTGTTTTTTTTTATCTGTATTTTTTTCAAGTTTCGTGTCGTTTTTTTCATATTTAAAAAAAATCCTTCTATTTTTTTTCTTTATTTCATTTTTCTCTCTTTTTCTTTTATTTCCTCTTCATTTTTTTCTTTTTCTTTTATCATTTTAATAATTTTTTATTTAAATTCGTTTTTTTTTTTAAATTTTTTTCCTTTTTGTTTCTTTCATCATATTTCTCAGTCATACACTCTCTCATATCAGCCTTTCTTTCTTTTTATTATTTCTTTCTTTCTTTCTATTATTTCTTTCTTTCGTTCTTTCTTTCTATTCTTTCTTTCTTTCTTTCTTTCTATTATTTCTGTTCTTTTCTCAACCTTTCTTTCGTTCTTTCTTTCTTTTTCTTCCCTTCTTTCATTATTTATATTCACACCGTAATCATTCTCTTTCCATTGTCATTACATTTTTTCATTTATTTAATTAGTTTTTTTTATTATTATTATTTATCTTCCAGGAACTTTTCTCTTCGCTGGAAGTAACTTTTCATTTCTTGCCTCCGATGCGATAATACTCCTCCTCCCCAACATCACCCATTCTTTCAAATATATAGATGGGGTGAATAGGTGCAGTCTTCATAAGTAGGTGTGTGTGGAGGGGGGAGGTGTTCAGAGTGGTGCTGAATGTAGGTGCAGGTTGGGGGGTTCTACCAATGTTTGTTGTTGTTCTTGTTGTTGTTAAATGTTAAGGATGAAAAACACAGACTCGATGGTCAGGGAGAGCATCGGAGAGAGAGAGTGCAGAAAAAGCGAGGCCGAGGATCTCCAGTTGAACAAGTGCAATCACAACATTCCCCTTTAATATGCACAACCTTTCCCCGTATAACGTATCTGGGTGTCAAGGTAGCTGTGTGGGGACACGTGTGTTTGTAGGTCTTATAAAATCAAGAAAAAGTTTAAAATACAATGTTCCGTTTTTGAGGTAATATCTTTCATATGGTTCATGCCAACCTTCATATATATATATATATATATATATATATATATATATATATATATATATATGAAATTGAAAAAAAAAAACAAAACAAATAAACATATATATATATATATATATATATATATATATATATATTATTCAGGCATGTTTTGTTACATAATTTAGACGTATTATGTCTATTTATTTTAGTTTTAATACTTTCACGTCTACGAATTAATTTCTTGGTGGCTGGAGAAAATTGATTAAGAAATTAATTCGTGGACTGGAAACGATTAAAGCTAAAATAAATAGATATAATACGTTTAAATTATTTAACCAAACATGCTTGAATGAAAATATGTTGCCTATATATATATAAAGATTACGCAAATCTTGTACGGTATGGTCAACGAAGCATGCTTAAAATATATTATTATTATTATTATTATTATTATTATTATTATTATATAGAAATGATAAGATACAGTAGAAAAACCTGTAGACGACGCGTTTCAGCCATGTGACGTGAGTTGCGTTCGTCTTTTTCAGGTTGGAATGAAAGACAATATTGGGGGAAATGAAAATGCGATGTAATTTTTGGGTGATAAGAGGGGGCAATCGTCAGATATTCCCAATGCGAAAGTTTTTCCCACTTTGTTTCACCATCTCCATTTTTATTCCAGATACTATTATACATCCTGTTGAAATAGATTATAACCGGTTATATAGTGACTAATTATTATGGTGACGATATATATATATATATAAAAATATATATATAAATATATATATAATTATTTTTTTAAAAAAATGATTCCTTCGCTGCATAAGAGTTCTCATGTTTCAAAAACGAGAGTCGAACACCTCGATATAATTATTAAAATTAAATTGAATTAAACTATCAAGCCCCGTTTCATCCTCAAGCGAAAATTTAGGAATAACCAATCTTGAAATTTACGCATCTTTATAAGCATGTTCATTCGCAAAATTAATTACTATGGAAACTATATATTATGGAAATTATAATACTTCTGTATGGAGGACTGTTTTTTAAAAATAAAAACAAAAATACTAAAGAACTCCGGATTATTTACCTAACGTGTTCTTTCCTATTTCTCTACATATCTGCACGCACGCACGCACACACACACACACACACACACACACACACACACACACACACACACACACACACATATATATATATATATATATATACACTAGATTAACTCGAATAAACTTTCCCATTGTTTTCAATGTCTGAGGGTAGAGTAGATCGAACCGAACAGCCCGACTACCCGCATATATGATTTGAAGGCTTGTGCAGTACCAACCACTGTCTTTGGAGAAGTCCAATAGAGAACTGGTGTGTGCCACCATCCTCTCTAACGACCCTTTTCAGGTTTTGATATCAGGTTTTATCCTTCTACACCGTTTGCCATCCAAAGTTATATGACTCCGTCTGTCCTGGGCGGCGGGAATAGATTGAGACTTTCCAAATGGCAATTTCACACAAGGAATGAAACAAACTTGACTGAATTCGAACTGACTCTCCGATTCCTCCACCGTATCTACACACACACACACACACACACACACACACACACACACACACACACATATATATATATATATATATATATATATATATATATATATATATATATATATAGCAAATATATGGATATAGATCCGACAGTATGAAGAAAAATATATATGGAAAAAAACAAACAAAAATCCTTATATACAATTATGCTGTTTTAATGTTAATATGTCAACGTCGGACGTTTCGGTCTAATAAACCATCTTCAGGACATATTCATAAAATATAATTAACATTATCAATACAACATGACAAAGACGATGGACATAAGAACAAGACTTATCCAAACAGACAACTGAAAGTTTTATAAGATCAGCGCTCTCAAAGAAAAAACCCCGATACGAGTAAACAACTCACTAACAAAAGAGCTCAATACAACCGTAGAGCAGACCTAAATACACCTAGTGAGTATACTGTTTGGATAAGTCTTGTTCTTATGTACATCGTCTTTGTCATGTTGAATTGATAATGTTATAATTTATGAATATGTCCTGAAGATGGTTTATTAGACCGAAACGTCCGACGTTGACATATTAACATTAAAACAGCATAATTGTATATAAGATTTTTGTTTGTTTTTTCCGTATATATTTTTTTTTCATATATATATATATATATATATATATATATATATATAATATATAGGCAAGAGGCAAAAGTAGTGGATTGAGGAATCGGAGAGCCGAGTTCGAATTCCAGCCGAATCCATTACATTTACTTACGTGCTAATACCCTTGGGAAAGGTATGAATCCTCTTCTATGGGTAAATAGCAAGACAGACTGGGTTCTATAGATGGAAACTGGTCTAGGAGAAGGACAACTCTGAATTCAAAACATGCAGAGTGTCGTTTGGGGACCTTGTGGCACGTAGTGCACCAGGTCTCTGTATTCGGCCCTTCATAAAGTGTGGATGGTTCTTTACAAAACCTTCACCACTATAATCAAATCATATGTGCAGGTGTCTGGCTGTCGGTTCCTAGGAACTGAGCTGCTTGACCCTCATACGTCTAATACGACGGGAGAGTTCACTATATATATATATATATATATTATTAAATTGTAGGAGAGAAGCTGAGTTAGCTGAAAGCATTTCTACAATGCACTCACGAAACTTCGAAGTCGGCATGATTGAAACTATACCACTAATTTAAGTGCTAAGTTTCTCCACATTATATGTGTGTGTGTGTGTCTGTGTGTTTGTGTGTGCAAAATTTCAGATATAACTAAAATATATAAAATACCAATATGAATAAAGAGCAAAGGAAAACTAACCGACGCGTTTCGTTCTCTGATGGAATTTTATCAAGGCAGATATGAGGATTTTATTTTGCATAAAGTATTTATGAACAAAAGAAAAAAATGTTAGTTTTTCATTTTCTTAATTTAAGAGACGTTCATAAATGTTCATCAAGTTATCTGAAGAGACTATGGAAGATGCTAAGTGACATAATTTAATGTCTAATAAACGAAAGTCAGTAAATGTTGTTGCTGTTGTTGAATTCTCTTTATGCAATTAATGACCCAAAGATTATTTATGAGCGTCTCTTAAATTTAAAAATCTTGAAGAACTAACAGCATTTTACGTTTGTTTATAAATACTTGTTGCAATGAAAAGGTAAAATTTACATCGACAGAATTGACGAGCATGTTGAAAACTAAATCATTCAAAGGGAATACAGGAAAATGTGTTCTTCATTTAAATAAATCCCTCGTAAATAAATTTACAAAAAAAAATTTCATTAAACTGAGACCGCGAAACTTTGAATGTTTAGCGACGTTTAATTTCAAATATTCTGAAGTGGTTTAAGAACACAATATTTTGTGTTGAAGAAAAATAACAT